GAGGTGTTCCATATTTGGTAAAGCTATTTTCTTACTACAGCCCTTACTATGTTCACCGCTTTTCTCACCACTTCTGGATATATTGTATACAGCTATCCTCTCAATCAAGATCCCAATGCCATCTTAGAGTTGTTGGTGCTACCTTGCCAATCATGGATTCATACGCATAGCCTTCTGCAGTATTTCTTTCTGTAACTCATGTCACACGCAGTGTCTGATCTTTTCCATAACTCGGGACTCCTTTCAAGAATTCTTTATCAGCCAAATATGTACTTCACATGGTCTTACCACTACAGGGTTCCGCATTTAAAAGCCCCCGAAGGTTACAAAGATAATTAATTAAATTAATTACCACCAGCTGTAATTGAACTGTCGACCTCGTTTATAGAGGGTTAGGTGCCTAGACTACTAGGCTACAGGACCCTAACCCTAAATAATTAATTTTATTCTAAAGCTTAATTTAAATTTAATAGATTTAATTTATCTTTGAAATAATTAAAAATAGTAAAGAGTTAGAGCTTTATATAATAGAATTAAAGTTATAAATCAAAGAGTTTAAATAGAGAATCTTTAAGTTAGATTATAAATATAATAGTTAGTATAAACTTAAAAAAATAGTAGTTTACTCTTATTAATAGTAACTTGTATAAATATATTTAAAGCAAATTATTTAAATTAGATAATTAAAATTTTGTTTATATGACTAGTTGTATTTTATTATCCCTTAAACCATCAATTTTAACAGGCAAATTTGGCCACTAAAATTTTAAATCTTTAGTATCTGATCTAATTTTGTTAAAATTTAATAAATTTAAAAAAAATTTATACAATAATATTTGAAAATAAGAATTATAAAATAGTAATATTTATTTTTAATTTATAAAAAAAAAAGTAAAGTTGTCTATATACTAAAAATCATCTAAATTTTAAAAAAAAATTTTTAAAGTGTAAATTTTGTCTTTACTTATTGACAAACTTTTTATAATTTAATTTTTACCTCTATAATCTTAAAACAAAATATAAAATAAGTTTTAATAAACAAACTTAATTAGTAAAATTTTTAAATTTTATAAATAAAATATTAACTTTAATTAATAGTAAACCTTTTTTTTGGAGTCGAAAATATATAAAAACTTAAAAATTTTTAAAAAATTTTTATAATAGAATTTTAGAATTGGCTGAGTTTAAAATTAAATATTTTTAATAAGATTAAAATTAAATTATAAATTTTACAAGATTATAACTAATTATAACTCGAATTTTTATTTTAACTTAGAAATAGGGGGTATAAGTATAATAAAATTTTTTGTAATTACAAATTTACAAAAAAAAAAATTTTAGTAAGCAAATTTGGCTACTAGACAGTTTAAGAGATAATTTTTAATAAACAAATAAAATTAAGAAATTTTTTTTAACACCAAAAAGAATAAATAAATAAATTAATTAAAGAGCTAACAGAAAAGAGCTTATATATATCTTTTATCTTTTGCTCCTCTTTCTACATCTCCTATTCTTTCTTTATACTCTCTTTTACTTCTTTATATCTCTTTTTATTTTCAAGAACAAGGGTAAAAAAGGCAAAGTGATAAAAGAAAAGTATAAGATAAAAAAAGAAGTATAAAAGAGAATGTAAGTATAAAAAAAAGAGGAAGATAGTAGGGGTATATATAAACTCTTTTTTGTTAGTTTTTTTATTTAACTAATTTTTATTTTTAAGATATAGTAATTTAATAAAATGATTTAGTTGTTACTTCACTAAACAACAAGTTTAAAGTTAAATTTTATATATAACAATTTTAAAAAATAAATTATAATATAGTAATAATTATTTGATAATTAATTGGATTAAAAATTTGTAACTTTGATAATATTGTTTAGAATAATTTAGAACAAAAGCTTTAATACAAAATTTAAGAAATTAGAATAATCAAAACCTATTTGAAAACCCCAATAAGTAAATAACAGAGATTCAAAATAATATCATAAAAAAACCAAATTTGGAACTAGAAACTAAAATTAAAAAACTAAATAATAATAAAATTTAAATAAAAAATTACTAGCTAAATTGCTAGTTCTGTTATATTAAAAAAAAAAGAATATATACTCTAGAAATATACTAAAAAAAGATAGACCAAAGAACTTAAAGCTAAACTAAAAAGTCAATTTTTTTTCAAATTGCTAGCTAAAAGTAAAAAAAAACTAGCAAAGAATTTTTTTTAAAAAAAAATTTAAATATAGATAATATAACATTATAATAGCAAAAAATATATAAAGTAAGTCAATAGAAATCAAGCAAATTTTTTATAATAAAATTTTTTATAACTTTAAACAAAAATAACTTAATAAAACTTGACCAAATTTAATAAAAATTTTTTTAAATAATTTTTATAAACTTATAGAATTTATTTTAAAAAAATTTTATTAAATTTGTCTAGTTTTTGTTAAATTATTTTTGTTTAAAATTTTAAAAAAACTTACTAAAAAAAATTTGCTTGGTTTCTATTAACTCAATTTTATATACTTTTTAAAAGTTTGTTAATATATAGATTATACCAGTGTTGTATATTTTTGAATATCCGAGCAAATTATGTTAAACCAGATATTTTTAAACATTGTCTGATGTCTGAGTCTGAATTATGTCTGAGTTAATATATTGTCACTTGAACAATGTCTGAGTAAAATATCTCAGACTTGAACATACTCAGACTCAGACATTTTCAGACATGTTCAAGTACTGTAAAACCATATAATGCCACCAAAACTGTAAATATCTTTGAGTATATGGTTAACCTTAGTTGCTATACATATATGGTAAAATTTCACAAATTTTATTCCTTTACTTTTCTAGAAGTCCAAGATCAGTTCTATATGCATCATATGAAGCAAAAGGTTGCAAAAATATTTCTGCTGTTTAAATCTCTGAATGATGACCGATTTATTGTGAATGAATTGACTCAAGATTCAAAGCTATATAGTACCATTCTAATTGTGATACTTTTACAAGATTTTTTGTAATGAACCTTTTACTGCAACCTGTATAACACTAATATAGTCGCCATATTCATTTCTTAACACTCTTGAACAGTTCAAGAATGAAGGATTCTCGCAACCAATTTCACAGAAGTTTTTTAATTTTTTGCTAATTTTCATTTGAATCACAAATCATTCTAAGTGCAATATCCTACTACATATTATTAATTCTATCAGCATTTAGAATATACAGTTGCGAATCCTCCTTTTCCTATTTCTCTAATAACACTGAACTCATTATATCAATAAAAGATAAGTTAAAACTTTTGTTATCTATTATTCTTTTGAGTTTATAATTAGGTAATTTATTAGTATTCAAAAGACTTATATTTCTAAATCAATAATTTGACTCATGAATATCTCTTTTTATACATGCTAAAGTCGAACAACACTATATATAAATCAACTTCAAATCCAATTTCATAATAAGCACCAACATTACATATTACATAGGCATTATTCAAATTAGACGATAACTTATAATATTCAAATGATTTTAGCTATTTATTTCTTCACAAATTCAACATTGCAATTCCATTAAGTCAAGCTGCATCATGTAACTACAGTAATATATTGAAATTGGTCTACAAAACTCTTCATCATGTAATATCAGGTTTTCACATGATATTTCAAGTAAGTTTCTTCAGAACTTTTTTTTATTTAATTATTCGAGTTTTATTAATCAATGTATTAAATAATTTTTCGTTTAAATATATTCATATTAATTTAAGGTTCACTCAGATACATAAATTAATTGGTTAATATTTAATTCTTAATTGGTGCAACTTCATTATTGCGATAAAAAAAAAGAGTTGAGAACTTATTTTTTTTGTCATAAATTTGTTCTGATTTCACTTGCGCTATGCTTCAATTAATTGCAATACTTATGTACTATCTTGGTAACTAACTAATTATATTAAGAGCACTCTTAATCTCTAAGTTTGGTAATTATTTATTAGTCTAATTGGTTTCTAAGTGTTTAATAGAGCAGTTCATGTCTTATTTAGCTTCTTATCTATATTAGACTATATAATTATCATCTGCCAAAAGCATTTCTAAATATGCAGATTAGTGTGATCAGATCCAGTGATATGGGTATTATTTTTAATATAATGTTATGTATTATTAAGACTAGTATTAGAAAATTTTAGTAGATTGGTGTGATTTGTTTTTAAATGAAGTAATTACATTCTATAATAAACAAATTTTTAAATTTTATAAAATTTCTTGTTTGTTTAAATTTTAGTGTCTCATATTATTATAGTTATGCTGTATTTAGTTTAGTGTTTTGATCGGGTAACTTAACCGAACTGAAAGAAATCTGGTTAACTGATTAAATAAAATGCTTAATCAGTTAATTCGATATAGTCAGTTAATAGTTGGGTAGCCGGTTAATTCGACGTAATTGGGTATTTGGTTAACCAATTATAAAAATAGTTATATATGTAACAAATAGTGAAAAAAATCTTTTTTTTATACTTCTTTTTTTTACTTTAATATTTGAGTTGTCTAGTTTTAACTATGAACTTTACTCAAATATCTATTTATGTTTTATTTTGTAGTACAGATCAAAGTTACAAAGACAACTACATTATATAAATCATATACACTTTGTAATGTTTTTTAGTTAAACCCAAATATTAAAATGTTATAGGCAAGTAAAATCTTGTATAATAAGTATTTTTTAAAAATCTAATTTAATTTTTTTTTATACAAATTAGAATTAGGAAACATGTTAATGAATTTATCATTCCTTTTTAGGAATAGCATTTGAGAAACCAATTTTGGTTTTAAGTTGAACGCCGAGGGGTAATATGGTTTCCAGTATCAAAGAAAATACGTTCGCTGAGGGCCAAAGTAGCAGGAACAGCAAGATAGTTTTGGGCTAGTTTAGAAAGATATAGAAATATAGATTGTTGCTTTTTTCATCATAAAAGGGATCTGAATCACTAAAAACCAAAGGAGTCTGTCTAAAAATCTAATTTATCTATAGAATCTTGTAACTTTTCAGATTCGTCAAATACTATGTCTTTAAACATGTTATTGGAAGAAATATTTGTTGGGTTAGATGAAATAGGTTGTTCTTCTGATAGTGACATCAATTGGTGAAGCTGAAACCGATATTTTTCAATAGTATAATTACAAACATCATCACTTGCAAAGGTCATTTTTCTTAGTTGAGGGTCCAATAGTGTTGAAAGAAGGCAAATTTGTGACATGTAGTCCCAATATTCAAAAAGTGAGTTATAAATAATATTTTTTATCTCTTTTATAATTGTTTTAGGATCAAATTGACTTTCTTGAATATTAAAGAATACATTATTTTCTTCTTCAGATTCTGAATCAAAATTAGATATTTCTTGAAAATCTATTTAAGATTACTATTATTATTAGTTTTAATTCAATTTAATGATTGTTTATAACTCTATTAAATTTGTAGTTTGTTTAATCGAATTCACAATTTGTTTAACAAAAGAAATATTTATACTCTTATTATTATCATAGGTATCTTTATCAAAACTTGGTGCATACTTAAATTTCATCGCCTCCATTAAAGGGTGAATAAATGATATATTAGGATATCGCCTGCCACTGAAATATTTGTAACACTATTAAAAGGTTTCAACAACTCGATTAACTTTTGAACAAGCTCCCACTCATTATCACGTAATATTAAGCTTTGTAGTTTTTTACTATCTCTTCATGAATCAAAATCTTCTTTAAGAGATAATGTTACTGAAAGCCATTTAATCGCCTGATATAGTTCAATCAGCCTTTTCCATGATCGATATTTGAAGTTCCAATGGGTAGAAATATCTTTAATAATTCATAATGTAGGGGTAAATTTTTCAGCTATTATTTCATTTGCATCTTCTAAGTTACTATTATAATCTAAATATAAGGTTATATTACAAATTTAAAATTCTGCAGTATATGCAACTTTATATAAATTTCAGTAAATCATATTTTATATAATTTTAGGAATTGGGGTTGGGATCCCGTGGCCTAGTGGTCTAGGCATCCAACCCTCCACGAGCGGGTTTTGGGTTCAAGTCCTAGTAGGTACGTTTATCTATGAATATTTGGAAGTATCTGCCGTGGGAAGTCCAAGTGAATACAGGTCTGGATTAGGAATTTCCGGAAGGAGGT